TTCCGGGAGAGGGTGCAGATGTGGCTCCCAACCGTGCCCATATGTTTCCAAGAGCGAAGCAGGAGGCTGGTTCCACGTGGTTCCCGGCATCTCCTGTGCCAGCTGTGTGCCAGGCCCTCGCCCGGTGCTAGGAGGCAGGTGTCCCTGGGTGTGAGCAGATGCTTCCTACATGCCCGGGAGAGCCCTGACGGTGGCTCCCACACGAGAGGATGGCCAGAAGACAGGGCAGGAGAGCAAGCACCAGGAAAGTTTCTCTGAAGAGGTGACAGGAACAGGGCACATTGAGAGAAGCTGCGTGTCCCCAGGGAGCTCTGGGAAGGGGCTGGAGAGGCCAGGAGGTGGGAGATAGTGCAGGTCTTTGTGAGGCATTTATGAGGCTAGGCCACTGTGGAGCAGGCCCAGGGGAGTTGCTGAGAGATGCTGAAAAGTGAGGAGAGGTTGTTTAACCCAGAAAGGGCCCCCCCGGGGGCCGGCATGTCACCTGAGCCCAAGAAAGCCTTGCTGGGGGAAGCCGGCAGGAGGATGTTACCATGGTTTGGAATCCTCTGGAAGCAGGACCCTGCTACAAGTTTGGGTGCAAATTGCTTGTCTGGTGGGTGACCCCAGGAAGCCTTCAAAGGAAGGAGGGAAGTGAGACTGGAAGGAAGGAAAGCAGCAGAAGGCAGGTAAAGAATCCTGGGCCTCCGGGCGACCTCTGGGCTACCAGTCAGGACTGTCCCATTGAGGGGAGAGGAGCGTGCGCTTTTATTCACAGACTTTTGTCTCTCCTGGATGGAGGGTCACTCCTGGGGCCTTAATCCCTCAGCACTTCGAGGCCTCGCTGGGCCAGTGGGTACCCTCAGGCAAGGGGTCTCAAGTAGCCACCCTTAAGTGTGAGGAACCACAGACAAGGGGACGAGGGGTCCATGGCCTCTGCATAGCTGATTAGGTGATGGTCACCAAATATGTGTGGGGAGAGGGGGGGATTCTCATTGGAGTAGGGGGTCTTAGGAGCTAATAGAATGTTCTAGAATGTGTGTGTGTATGTGTGTGTGAGTGACGAGTGGGGCGATGGGATTTGGTCTGACTCCTTCTCTACACCTCTCTTGTGGGCTCACCTTTCTTCCTCTAAAGCCTGGATTGGCTTTGCGATCCCTTTCTTGGTGAAATGTGGGAACTGGGAGGCAGCCCCAGAAGGCTGGCCCTACTTCTAGGTATCCAGGCAGGAGCCGCAGACTCAGCCGGGGTGTAAGTGGAGGAAGGCGGGACAGAGTGGAGGGTGCTAGTGTTTAAGGAGGAGGCTGAAGACGACCAAGAAGCACAGCGAGAGAGGAAGCCAGCTAAGAGCTGGACCCTGGATGGAGGGAAGAGGGCTGTGAGGGCAGGCAGCAGGCCTGGGAATTGGGGATTGAGGAGTGTCTTGGCGAAGGCATCGGACTTAGGGAGAACGTGCAATGATCTGGATAAATTCGGCTCCAGTTTTTGTAGCTGTGTGATCATGAACAAGGCTCTGAACCTCTCTCTCTCTTTTTTTTTTTTTTTTTGAGAGGTTTTTGCTATAGGGTGCGTGCGCTTGCCAGACAGACAGAGAGAGACAGAGAGACAGAAAGCGAGAAATCACCCCCCAGGGGGGATAGCCACACCACAATCCCTTCTCCATTCTCCTCTCGGGACCTTGGGCATGTGCGCCTGAGGTGAGTTTAAGCCACCGGGTCCGGGACTCGAACCACGGTCGACTACGTTGGAGTCCAGCGACATAGCCATTACGCTAACTGCTGGTCCCAAGGACCTGAACCTCTCTGAGCCTTGGCTTCCTCAGCTGGGGAGGCTTATGCTGTGCCTCCTATGCTAGTCGTGGTGACATGAGACAGGAGGACCCGATTAGCAATGTTTCTGGCACGTATTAAATATTTCTCCTCCTCGTCCTCTTTCTCGCCCCCTCCCCCCGTGAGGATGGTGAGGGTGATGACGATGATATGGCTGTTTTGGTAGGAAGGAGGACAGGTACCAGAGGAGTGCTGATGGAGGCGAGCACCTGGCGACAGTGGCGAGGGACGGTTCTCTGTGTAGTTAGGTGTCTGCACAGGGAAGAAAGCCAGCAGGGGAGACCTGGCGCTCAGAAAGGTCTTCACTTAAAGGTGAGAGAGAATGAGCAGGATCTGATGCTGATGGGATGCGGCCAACAGAGAGGGGAGGGCAGCGCTGAACTCAGGGGGGGTGTCTTGGGCTGCCTGGAAGCAGAGCCTGAGGCAGGGTTTCTTTTGAAAGGTGGTGGTGAGGCAGTGCCCTCAGGAGACTGGGCTGCAGGAATCAGGGCTTGTTCAGGAAGGGGCTGAGCAAGATGGGGCCTCGGCTGGAGAATCCCTTGCCGGGAGCCCACTGGGAGCTCTGGCGCCCAGCTGCACTGGAGAACAGGATGGATGTCTGATGCAGGGTGGGGCACTGAGGTTGGGGGTTCATAGCCTCCTCAGGGAGGCAGCTCCCATTTGGCCAAAGTCACTTCTCTGGAGGAGAGATGGTTGCCAGCCCTCCTGGCAGGTGGGGAATGGTAAGGGGGTCAAGTCAGGCACCTGTACTGTCCATGACAGAGGGCATCCTCAAATAGCAAGTCTCAAATGGGGAGCATGGTCTATCCTGGGAAGGGGTCATGTCTCAGGGGTAAAGCAACTGGACCCACATGGAAAAGGTCCTAGGTTCGCATCCTGGGACCACCTAGGGCAAAGGTACACATCTCTCTGACCCAGGCTAGCTAAGGCTGAGGGTGGATTGTGATATAGAGGCTCAGTGGGGGGTGCCTCCCTCTGTCTCGTTGTCTCTGTCTCACACACACACACTCATAAAATAAATAAATACTTTACACTTTAATAAAACCATGCGAGGAACAGATTTCAGGAGAATTAAGAGCTCCATTTTCTTTTTCTTTTTTTCAAGTTATTGCTATAGGGCACGTGTGCTTGCCAGAGAGAGACAGAGAGAAATCACCCCCTGCGGGGATGGCCTTTCTCTATATCTCTACATCTCTACTACAAGCCTTTCTCCTCCATTCTCCATTTGGGATTTTGGGCACACACACACACGTGCCCAGCAGGATTTTCAAGCTGCCAGGTCTGGGATTCAAAGGATCCACCTGCCTTAACCTCCACACCACCTGCTGACCTGAGCCCCATCTTCAGTATGTTAAATTGGATGTGCTTTTGGGTTATCCAAGTGAAGACATCAATCAGGCAAGCGAATGGAAGCACCGGAGGCCCAGGCAAGAAGTCAGGGGATCGGTTTTCCTTTATTTCTGACATTTATGGCACATCCCATGGCCAATCAAATTGTGTGGATGTGGTTGGTCTAAGTAGTATTGTCACTGCTGATCAAGTAGATGAATATGATCCCTCTATATTAATCTATGAACACAGCCTGCCCTTTGCCTGTAAACACAGTAGACACTTTAAGCCCAGTCTGGTGGTGTAGTCAGTAGCAAACTGAACTGCAGTTCTGGAATCCACGTGGCTGACCTCAGGCTCGGAGCCCCAGGCTGACTTGAAAAGATGCTGGGTGCATATGAGCCCAAGATGCTGACAAGCTTGAGAGCTAAGGAAAGGGGATCCCGCGCAGACCCTGTGTCATGAATAGAATAAACTTTAACAGATTTCATCACGTTTAGGTCCCTTAACAAGTGTAAGTAGTACCAACCATGTTCTTCGATCATTTTTATTACTAGAAATTAACAGCAAAAGGGAAATTAATATATTTTTTTAAGAAATAGTCATTCCAAAAATTTAGGACTCTTCTTAAAGAAGTCTTGGGTCAAAGAGGAAATTTAAAAATAAATGCACAGAAAAGAACGATAGTGAAAATCTTATGTGATCAAGTCTATGTTTAAATCATGCTCAGAGGAAAGCCCATAGCATTAACATATTACTAAAAATACAGAATGAAAGTAAATGAAAAGTGGTGCTCAAAACTGAGAGGGAAGCAACTCTAAGAAATCTTTTAAAAGCAGAGAATGGGATTAATAAAGATAAAATGAAATATTAAAGAATTAGAAAGCAGAGAAGCAGAAATGATAACTTTGAGATTTCATTTGAGGAGAAAAGAACCAACCCACATAAAATGGAAAACCCATTAGCCTGCCTAGTGAAGAAAAAGGGAGAGGAAAACACAGATATTTAACATAGAAATTGGAAAGGGGAAATAGCCACAGATGCAGAGGAAATAAAAATAATTCTAAGAGTATGCAAACTGGTATGCCTCACTGAACACCATGCATGTGTGTGTGTGTGTGTGTGTGTGTGTGTCTGTGTGTGTGTATATATATAATGTTTAAGTCAAAAGTACACACTATTCTAAATTTGTATTTACTATGAAAAATGCTTATATACAAAATCATTGAACTTTCTTATCCTCCAAAAATGAACAGTTAGAAAATATTATGGAAAGTCAAGTTAATAAGAATATTATGGGCCTCTAGAAAGCAAAGTACTAAACTTTATCAAGGAGTTTATTCCATATATTTAACAAAATGTTATATACTCTAGGGTTTGCCATATTCTAGGTACATTTGATCTGTAACAACTGTAGAAGGTAGGTTTGATTAGACTACATTTTTGCAGATGGAGAAACTAAGGCACAGAGAGGTTTAGTCATTTGGCCAAAGATGCCCAGCTGGTAAGTGGCAAAACCAGGATTCAGAACATAGTTAGCTGCATGGTGAGTTAATGACGAGGCGAAATCATGTTCCAGGAGGGAGGATTTAGTACCATCAATTCCCAGCCGGGCTGAGCTATCTGGCAGGGGCTGGAATACTGCCTGTCTGTCCAGGGTGAGTGACAAGGTGCCAGGGGGCCTTAGCTCCCTCAGATGCACCAGGTCATGCAGGGGTCACAGGGAAATGGAACACCACCTCAGATTCACCTGTCGGGCGCCCGAGCGGCCCACAGCTCAGCCAGAACCAGGCCGCCCCTTGCTTCTCACCTGATGCATTGGCAGGACAGGCCCTTTGACGCCAAGTCTCTGTCCTCCTCCCCCAGATCCAGGAGATGGTCCACTCGGAAGTTGCTGCCTACGATTCGGGTCGGCCAGGGCCCCTGCTGGGCCGCCCGGCGATGCTGGCCAGCCACATGAGCGCCCTCAGCCAGTCTCAGCTCATCTCTCAGATGGGCATCCGGAGCAGCATCGCCCACAGCTCCCCATCACCCCCGGGGAGCAAATCAGCCACCCCGTCCCCCTCCAGTTCCACTCAGGAGGAGGACTCGGAAGCCCATTTCAAGGTATGTGGGGTGGTGAGGCAAGGTGTTGGGATGCCCGCCAGGGTCTCAGCAGGGTTGGGCCCTGTGGGGAGTGGGCATTGCCTACTTCTAGAAAAGACTAGAAGGGCAGCTGTAACCTGGCCAAAGCCAAAGGAGAAGGAAATCAGATAGAACCGGGGCTGCAGGGGAGCACCTGGTCAGCAGGGAAGCACCCGGGGGCCTCAGGGTCCTTTGCCGTGTCCTTGGCAAGCCCTGCACTCCCGGTGCCCATGGCACACGTGCCTAGCAGAGACCACTTTAACAAGTATCAAGGGGGTGGGGTGCAAAAATGCCGTGAAGGTGTGGCGCAGGCTTACTCCTGAGAGCTGTGGCCACTTCCATGACGGCTGTGGCGTCGGCACCTCAGGGCACATCTGATGGCCATTTGGGCCTTTTAGGAGAAGATATTCTGACAAAAATGTGGGGTCCAGCAGAGGGCCCCTCTGGGACAGGGCGTTCAGCATTGACCTTAGAGATGGGGAGGGTCTAAAAAAGATCCCCTACTGGTGTGATGCCCCCCCTACCCCCCCCAACATCTCTGGACTCAGAGTCGGTCCAGCCTCTTCCAGAACACATCGGGGATGAGAACCCGCCACCGTCCTGGGGCTGGCCCTCTCTGTGCACCGACCCCAAGTCTGCCTTGGCACTGGAGAGGCCCAGAAAGGCCCAGAATGGACGTGTTTACCTGGAACCTCCCAGCAGGCTAGTGGCAGGTTCCACACTCCACGCTGTGACCCCGGCCACCCTGGTCCAGTGCTCTTCCTTCTTCGTAGGGTCACCCGTCACCTGCAGAGGCCCGAGGCAGGAACCCTGGCCCCTGTGCCATGAAACTGTGTCTTCCTCGACCAGGAAAGGGGTTATCTCTAAATCCTGGTTCAGCTTCATCCTCAGGATAACTCAGTCTCTGCCCCAGGTCAGGCAGGGATGGTTTTTATTTCATTTTTTACTTAATAAACATTCCTAAAGCACTCCCTATAGGCCAGACACTGTTCTAAGCACATAACGAGGACTCATCCGTACAGTCCTCATACCAGACCTGTGTGGCAGGTACGTGATTGTCTCCATTTGGTAGAGAGGAAGCTAGGGCACAGAGAAGTTCACTAACTTATCCAGCGTCACACAGCCAGGAAACAGCAGAATCAGACTCACAGCCGCATGGTTGCAGTTGCAGTCAGTCTGTGCCCTCAACCACCTGCAAAGCCACGTCTGCTCATGAGCCATCTGTTACATGGTGTATCTTCACCCCTTGTTTTGCCCGGGTGTCACCAGGCACCATCAGACTGTGGCGTGGGTGTCACCAGGCACCATCAGACTGTGGCGTGGAGGGGCGGCTGTCTGCAGGGACAGTTCTGGAAGCAGAAGGAGTGATGTCACACCCCACCCTCCCTGCCCCTCAGACGCAGAGGCCTGAGCCTCGTCCACTGGCTCAGAGTTTCTTATCAGATCATGGTGCCTCCCTCGTTTTCCACAGAGAGCCTCAGTCTCCACTGCAGAACCCAGGGCCAATGACCCCAGTCCCTGGGAGGCCCTGAGGGTCCTCACAGAGACCCACTGAGGTCTGGGGTGAACATCCCACCCCCTTCCCATCCTGAAAACCCCAAGTTAGGCATTCACAGCCCTGAGTCTGTCCCAGGTGAGGCCACTGGCTCCAGGGTGACCTGATGACAGTCACTTTGCGTTGCTCCTTCCAAGCTACCTACCCAAAGCAGCACAGCTGGGACATGGGGCAAGAGTCCAACTTTCGTAATCAAGGGTAATCTTTCGGGATTGCCTGTGACCACAGAAGGAGAGCAATTAGGAAAACACACACATCCAAACCTGGAAATGGGCCCCGGCTGCACGCTGTCACCATCCGCAGCAAGCGCTGCCTACCAGACTCTCTCGGGAAGCTGTTGATCCTGGAGGAACAGGCCTTCACTCAGACTCCATGTTCGTGACTGATTAGAGAGGATGTCACAGCCCTGTGAAGGTAGCTGTTGCCTCGGGCGGCAAAAGTGATAAGCATCAATTATTTCTGTCTGATCACAAGACAAATTAATTTTCCCCTGATAAGATGCAAATGGTTTCTGTCCAGTAGGAAAGATGAGAAGTCTCCACGTGGTAGTGGCGTTGCCTTCCGGGGGATAGCCAGTTTCCCGAGTAGTTTAGTAACATCCCAGCAATCGGTCAGTGACTGCAAAGACTTATCTTCCTCTTGCAGGCCTTTGAGTCCACTTTCCAGTCCATGCTGAGTCTCTTTAATGAGTTAGACAAACACCCAGGGCTCCTAGCCAGCATGTGTGTGTGTGTGCGTGTGTGTGCACGCATGCACATACGATCATACATCTGTGTCCTTCTGTCTGAGTGTCTGCCTATCCATTACCCTCTTCCTCCACCCCCTGATAGTGTCCGAGCCAGGCGGTGGCAGCTCCCTGTGTGAGCAGGGCTGGACCAGCACGCAGGCTGCCAAGGAGAGCCTGGCTCGACAGGAGGCTGGGTTTGATCTCCAGCAGCAGGTCCTTGGCTTCTAGTTTTCTGACCCCTGTCACCTGCGCAGATCTCGGGAGAGAAGAGACCCTCAGCCGACCCAGGGAAAAAGGCCAAGAACCCAAAGAAGAAGAAGAAGAAGGACCCCAATGAGCCGCAGAAGCCTGTGTCGGCCTACGCACTCTTCTTCAGAGACACTCAGGCCGCCATCAAGGGACAGAACCCCAGTGCCACCTTCGGAGACGTGTCCAAAATTGTGGCATCTATGTGGGACAGCTTGGGAGAAGAGCAGAAGCAGGTGAGCCCAATCCTTTCCTGGGCCATCCCCCAAGGCTTTGCGGTCCTGGAGTCCAGAATGGACTGGGAAGGGCTGAAACCAGGCCCCGCTCTGGGCCTAGAGGCTCGCAGAGGTCTTCTGTGGGCTCATCTGTAAACTGGGAAGCTGGTGCCTCCCGCGCCATGCACCGGCTGCGTTCACTAGCGACATAACCATTCTGGGTGAGGGCACATGCAAGTTGGCTGAGGAACTGGGACATAGCCCGGCCCCCATTCTCCGGTGCAATGCTCCTAGGAGGAGCCAGGAGGTGGCAACCCAGCTTCTGTTCCCACCACCCTCATCCATGCCTGGCCACCTACCCCCATCCCCAGCCTGCACCCTGGCTCCTCTGGAACCCCTGAATGGTGCACACATGTTGGGTCTTTCAGGCCTACAAGAGGAAGACCGAAGCAGCGAAGAAGGAGTATCTGAAGGCTCTGGCAGCCTACAGGGCTAGCCTCGTCTCCAAGGTAGCACCTGGAATCCCGGCACGGCCTGGTCGGTGGGGGTTGGGGGGTGAGGACAGAGTCAGAGCCGGGGCCCACGGGAACTGCCAGTACTCTGTATCCTGGAAGGGATGGGTGAACCCAGCATGGTGCTTCTGCAGAGCAGCTGCAGGGTGCCGGGCTCAGGCTGGCCACTTTCCATGCCTCTTGTGTCACTGAGTTCTTCCAACCAGATCTCAAGGCACTCAGAGGAGTTCAGTAACTTGCCCAGAATTACCCAGGTTAAGGGACGGTACTAGGATTCGAACGCAGTCTTGCTGGTCTTCCTGTCTGGCTTTATGTCTGACCCCACTGCCTTCCTCTCTGCCAACACCACCAGGGCAGGAGCGCCATGGGGCTGTGGACAGGTGGCCCAAATGGGGCTGGCATGTAGACCAGAAGCTATTGTCGAGGAGGTGGCATCTCAGCCAGAAAGGGCCAAGTACAGAGGGTCTCAGAGTGCAGGGGACAGCACATGCGAAGGCACAGAGGTGGGGGGGACGGTGGCTCTCTGGCTGGTGCTGGTGTCACTGCCAGCTGAGGAGCTTGGGGAGCCCCCACCCCCAGGCATAACAGCAGGGGCTGGTTGGATGGTCAGAGTCAGGTGCTCTAAGAATCCACGTATCTCTAGTTAGCCACAACCGCCCCGCGAGGGACCAGAGGGCCAGCCGGGGGTGTGGTGTTGGGTAGCAGACCCTGGTCCTGCAGCTCTGGTTCTGGCTCAGCCCTCTTCTCCAGGGTGACCAGTTTCTGTCTCCGTTCAGAGCTCCCCGGACCAAGGTGAGAGCAAGGGCACTCCGTCGAACCCACCAGCCAAAATGCTCCCACCCAAGCAGCCCATGTACGCCATGCCAGGCCTGGCTTCCTTCCTGACGCCGTCGGACCTGCAGGCCTTCCACAGTGGGGCCTCTCCTGCCAGCCTCGCCCGGACCCTGGGCTCCAAGTCGCTGCTGCCAGGCCTCAGCGCATCCCCGCCACCGCCACCCTCCTTCCCGCTCAGCCCCCCGCTGCACCAGCAGCTGCCACTGCCCCCCCACGCACAGGGCGCCCTCCTCAGCCCACCCGTCAGCATGTCCCCAGCCCCCCAACCCCCTGTCCTGCCCACTCCCATGGCACTCCAGGTGCAGCTGGCGATGAGCCCCTCGCCCCCAGGGCCACAGGTAAGCAAGACAGCGTAGGGGCAAGCCCTTCTAGGACTCCTCATGGAGTGGGGAGGTGGCCTGGGATGTCAAATACTGGCCCTGCCAGGCACCAGCCATGTGACCTTCACCTTCTCTCTCGGAGGCTTGGTGCCCCATCCAGGGTCCGGCAGGCCTTCCCTGAGATGCACTGGCTGCAGTGGGCAGTAGACGAGGTTCTTAGGCTATTCCAGGGCCTCCTCCCATCCTTTGTCCACTGTGACTCCCTGGCCTCTGGCTCTCTCCAAAGCCTTCGAGGCCTAACCACCACTGACTGTGCTGACACAGGCTCGCCTGGCCCTTGGAGGCCATTGGCTCAGAAAATCCATTTCACAGATTGAGAGACTGAGGCTCAGAAAACCCTCAGACAGGTTGAACCTGTTGGGAGGTGCCGTCATGGGGAAGGAAGAAGTGATTGAGGCAGAGTGGGGGCTCCTTGAAGCCCCGAGGGAGTGGACCCCCTCAGGCACACAGAGGGCTACACATGCATATACGCACGTACACACACAGGCACACGCACACGTGCACACGCACCCCCACACACATGTTGTGCACATGTACATGCACCAGGCACACGCAGCTGCTCCTGCTCACATCTCCTGCCTCCTCTTCTAGGACTTTCCCCACATCTCTGAGTTCCCCAGCGGCTCGGGGTCCCGCTCACCTGGCCCGCCCAGCGCCACGAGCAGTGGGGACTGGGATAGCAGCTTCCCGAGCGGGGAGTGTGGCATCAGCACCTGCAGGTCAGTCCTCCCCGTCCAGGCTGAGGAACAGGGGGCGTGGGAACAGGGACGGCCGGGGACAGGAGGAAGCTCGGGGAAATGGGGGAACTGGGCAAGGTTGCCCTGCCGCTGCCTGCCCTGTGGGGTGGCTGCTCCTCCTCACAGGTGGCTCAGCAAGCCAGGCTCCCTGGATTCAGCCGGCTGAACCCCAGGCCAGCTTGGGAAACCGAGGCTGGCCTTTGGCCTTGCTGTTCCTCTCTCCACCCTGGTTCTCTCTCTCTCTCTCTCTCTCTCTTTCTTTCTTTCCTTCTCTCTCTCTCTCTTTCTCTCTTTCTTTTTTGTTCACAAATGCACCCTGGTGACATTCATAGGTGAGCCCCATGTCTTAGACCCAGTTCCTGGAAGTGGAGCCGAGGTGGCAGGAGTCCGGGTGCCCTTAGTGATGTGTTGAGGGAGAGTTGAGGGACAAAGGGGGTGAGGGTGGCAGGACAGAGTGGGGGGTCTCAGCTGGAGCCTTTGGGGTTCCTGCAATGATGCCACAGTGGGCCCCACTTGGAGGTAGGCAGTTGGCACTGTGTATCCTGGGCAATCAGCCATGGAGAAGGACACAGCTGGGCACACAAGAGAGGGGACTTGCCCGGGGCACTAGGAGACTGGCTGGCCATCTAACCCAGGCATCACACGCCTAGGGGAGGTGTTTTCCCCGCTGCCCTGTAGCCCAGCACCCTCCTGACACTCAGACCCCAGTGTCATGTGGCTCCTCCCTGATCCTCCTCCCCCATCCTGAGACTTAGCCTTTCCAACTGCGCCTCCTCTAGAAAGCCTTTCTGGGTCGTGCCCAGCAAGAGCGGCCTTCCATTCCAACCAGCAGAGGGGGTAAAACAGAGGGGAGACACACTTGCCCCTTACCCTATCAGCTGGGTCCCCAGCCCTGTGGCCACATCTGGGAGGTAGCCCTGCGCTGCTGTGCAGCAGCAAGGCCACATGGGAAAGGGGAGGGGAGGCCGTCACTGCAGCCCATCCCAGCCCCACTGAGCCCTGGCACACGCCCCCATTTCTAGCCACCTGGGGAGAGACCCCAAGAGCAGGCAGTGCTCAGCAGGGCCGCCCCTCCCTGCAGCCCCGCTGTGCAGACCCTCCTCCAGCCCTCTCTCCTGCCACTTCCCTCCCGAGAGTCAGAGTCCTGGGTGAGCGTGTGTCGGGGAGGTGTCTTTAGTGACCAGCTCAGAGCACCAAAGCCTCCTGAGGCCACTTTCACACCCAAGGTAGAGAGAGGACCACCACAGTGCCCTCTGAAAAACATAAAAAGTGCCTGCCCACTCTTTTTCATCTGAAATGTACAAACGCAAGGAACTGCCCTAAGAGGCTGTGATGCTGACGGTCCGGGAAGTATACCTGTCACACAGCCGCCCTCCTCGGCGAGGGCTGCATGGTCTCCCCCAGATTCCAGGAGGGGTGTCGGGTTCTGCCGAGTGGGCAGCCAGGAGGGCCCAGCATGTGTCCTTCCTTCATCCTCAGGGGCAGCTGAGTCCAGGGTGGAGGTGGGGGAAGACAGCAGTGTGCAGAAGCCTGGAGCACCCGGGCCCTGTGCTCCCAGCCCAGGTGGGCTCAGCTCTGACAGCCCCTCCTCTCTCCCGCAGCATGCTCCCCAGGGATAAATCGCTCTACCTCACCTAATCCTGCCTCCCCTCCCTTCCCTGAGGCTTGCGGAAGGGCACTGCTCAGAGCCTGCAGGGCCCACGGCAGGAAAGAGGCCTTGGCAGGAGGCAGGGTGACCGATTCGAGAAAGCAATGATACCAAGGCCCTGGGGCTGAGTCTCTCCCTCGACCTCCCACCAGACTCTGCAGAGGCAGCCCGCCGCCCACTGCCAGCCCGAAGAACCTGCAGGAACCTTCTGCCCGCTGACCTGCTTGCTCCAGGGTAACTATGGACCTGCTCCACGCCCTGCACATGGTACCCTGTCTGGACGTCTGGTCCCAGCCCTGGTTCATGTGGGCTGCCCTCGGCCGGGTCGCTTACCAACTGCAGAACCCCACTCCCAGTGCGTGGGCCGGGGGCTGGCCCAGTCATCGACGTGCAAATAACGTTTTCCATTGTGAACAAAAGATTATGAAACCTATAAACTGTTGGCTCCGTGTAAGTAGTTGACTACGTGTTTTAGAACTGTGCTGAAGACATCTGTAAGATTATTTTGTGGGGGACAAAAAAAAAAGTAGTTTCCTTTAAGGTAAAAAGCATTTTATATGACCCTTAGCACATTTTTTTTTTAAGTTTTATCTGAAGGGAGACGTGCACCGAAGCAGCTGCCAAACGGTTGCATCATCTGTACAGCAGGGACTGGACGCTCATAGCCACGCTCCACGACGTGGCCTCTGTTTTCAGTTGTGTGTCCATCTAGTTAAAATGGCCAGCGATGGCTTTTGTCTATTTATGAAGCACACTCGAGAGGAAGTTGCCGTTTATCAGCACGTGCGCGTGGTTTGGGGCTTCGGTTTTACTTTCGGTTCCTGGCGTCGTTTGCAGCTGTCTCCTGGCCCTGGCAAATGTGTGTCTTGGTGCCCAGTGCTTCTTCTCTCAAACCTCTTTATAATAAAACTTTGGAAAAGTGGAAACCACGTCTGTGTCTTCTTGCACCTTGTAAGCCAGGGCCAGGCCTCCGAAGTGTCATTTGGGGGTGGCTTTACCAGGGCAGAGCCCCTCAAGTCAGACAGGCTCAGGTGAGGGTCTGCCTGCCGTCGGTCGGCGCAGGCAGGATCTGTGAGGTCACGGGGCCTTTCTGACCCCAGTCATGACATCTGCAGCAGTGAGATAATGACGGCACCGCTCCGTGGAGTTCTCGTGACAGTGAAAAGGGGCGTGGGCATAGAATGCTGTCACACAGGGGACATTCAGCAGCAGGTGCCAGTGGTGACCCCATTCCTCACTATTCCCACCGAGGCTGTGGAGGTGAGTGGCGGGAGCCCGGGGTCAGAGTGGGAGAGACATCCTAGACAAAAGACTCCTTAAACCACACACCCGGGATTTTAAGTCATGATTATGCAACTGCTTTCACTGTACCTGAAAAAGTGACGTCGGCCTGGTGTGAAGAAGTCGGCAGGCGCGGCTGTCGGGCCCTCAGCTATTTGGAGGTGGAGCAAGCCCCCCCTCCCCGCCCCGGGACCTATACCGCAAGGCCCCCATTGACGATGGATCCTGGCCTCTGTCAGTCACCGCCTCTCTCCAGATGATGGCCCCAGGCATGGGCACAATTTCACTGTGAGCGGCTTCCTTACCAGAGGGCATTTTGTAATCCACTTTGGAAAAAGAAAAAAGGAAACCACAAACAAACAAAAGCCACATGCTGTCACGACAGTAGCAACACCACAGCGTGGAGCATAAATATTTCATGTGGTTACAATTTCCTTTCCTGCGTGGAGCTTGTCAGTACGGCGGTGATGGCTCAGACAGTTTAATATTCGACTCTTGCTCTTACATTTAAGAGAACAGCATCACTGGGATGCATGCAGACGGCCCCGAATTACCAGAGCGCGAGGCCGTCAGATTCTGGCTTTGGACCACGGCCTCACCACTGCCTCTAGCTCAAGGGCCTCTGGGAGCATCCACGTGCTGTGGCCGATCCTTCAGCTGTACGAGGCATGCGGGGGCTCCCAGACTTCAAAGACCCTGCCTGCATGTGCCAGGGGACCGCCACGTGGGTGTATTCCATGGCCCCCGTGATCAATGGAAGGTACAAAGCCTGGCTTCACGGCCACGGGGTGGGCATGACTAGTGTAGTCCATTCAGGTTGTCATAATGTGGTCCTGTAGACCCGGTGGCTCAGAAGGGCCGAAGTGGAGCACGCACAGTTCTGGAGGTTGGGCAGTCCAAGACCAAGGCACCTGCAGATTTGGCGTCTAGTGCGGGCCTGCTCCCAGTTCATCGACGGTCTCTTCTTGCCGAGTGCTCACATGGCAGAGGGCCGGGCAGCTCTCCAGGGTCTGTTTTAAAGGGACACTAATCCCAGTTGTGAGGGCTCCCCCTCATGACCTGATCATCTTGCAGTGCGCCCTCCCTAATACCATCACACTGGGGCTAGGGTTCCACATACATGATCATCCCACTGACCATGCAGATGCTCTGGTGTCCTGTCCAGGTGTCCAGTATTGGCCAGAGCCTGTCCCCCAGCTCCTGAGTGGCAGCTGCTCCCAGTTCACAGCTGTCCCCCCCCACCCTGGTCCATCAAATACCACGTGACCAATGCCAAAAGGAGCCAGGAAAATTCCAGAGACAGGCACCCAGGCCAGCGGGCTCCTGAAGGCGTCCAGTCAGGTGACATCTGGGCTGAGCGCTAAGCAGTGATTACCGTCAGGACTGATGTGTGGCTCGCGGGTTCCACTTCCTGATCCCAGACCCCAGTGGCGGAGGCTCTGTGACTGTTTGTGACTGTTCTCATCAAGGATTTGGGACAGTTGTCTCTGGGAGAAGCTGAGGTGAGGCCAGGTAGCTGTGTGGGGATTTCCAAATCGGGATTAGGATGGAGGCCTCAACTTGAAGGTGAACCTCATGTGGTTGCTGTTCCTGAGTGCTGGACCTCTGCAGCCCTCTCCTGGGGTCCAGGCCAGCCCTGATTCCCTGCGTGGTGGTGGTGTAGGACGGTGTGAGAGCATGTAATGTGCATGTGTGTGCTTTACATGTGGTCAGGTGTGTACATGTGGAGGGGTGTTTGTATGTAGCATGCATGTATGCATGCTTGTTATGCACAGGTGTGGTATGAACCTACATACATGGTGTGCTATGAATCTACATACACGGTGTGCTTGGTGAGTACAAGCAATACGTGGGTATGTACTTTGTACATAGTATATTGTGGGCATATATGTGGCGTGAATGTGTGTGTGTGTGAGCAAAACACATACAGATACATGCACACACATACCACACAAACACATTCACCCCTACACGTATCAGACCTACACCCGGGCACAGGACACACAAACACATACACACAAGTATGGCACACATACACTCCACATGCAAGTGCATCTTACACATGAGTCCATCACATGTGCACACACACATCACACAGTTGTGCAAACACATGCATAGACATGCATCAGCCTGACGATGGTCTGTCCTTAAACGTGTGGAAGGACTCACATGCAAAAAGAGATCTGACATTCTATTTTTAAAAATGGCTGACTACATCAGTTTTTACTCAGCTCTACTTCCCGAAGTACCTGAGACTAATAACCCCAAATAACTGAAGGGAGGGCAGTCACCCAGCGAGTGACAGGCAGTGGGTGTGGTGGTTGGGAGTGAGGCTTCTGCAGCTGTGGTGGTGCTCAGGTAGGGCCATGTCCTGGAAAGCTGAAAGCCATATAAGAGGCCCGTGTTCAGATCCCAGGCTGACCTCATTCCACTCGCGCCGTTGAGTTTACCTATAGCCCCAGCTCACTGGGAGGCAGGGGCAGGAGAGCCAAGACCCTATCAGAAATACTCCTCTGTGTCTCTCCCTGTCTCCCTCCCTCTCTTTCTCTTTTTATCCATCTCCTAAAAAATGGGGAGGGGGTAGGGAGAAAAAAGAGAAAAGAAGAGGAGTGAAGGCTTCGGATGCAGCCTGCCTGGGAGCACATTCCCTCTGCTGCTTACTGGTTCTGTGACCTTGGTTGTTCCTTAACGTCTGTTTCCTCACAGGCAAGATCTTCAAAAAGTTCATAAAAAATGCATATCCTGATAAAACCACGCATAGATTTCAAGGTTTTCTGTTTTTGTTTTTGTACCAAAATAAACCCATACATTAGTCCACAGGTTTTCCGCAGTCCCCTCACATGTAACTTGGGGAGAATAGTCTCTTCAGAGAGGTGTGGTGAGAAGCAATGAGTTTCTGTCTGGAAAGTTCTTAGATCTGAGCAGCTTCATGATCATTCTCTGCACGCCACAGGGTCAAGGTCTTGTAGCACGCACCAGTAAGTCAGGCCATGCCAGGGTCTGCTGCAGTAACAACCTGACATCTCAGTGGCTATACCAACAGAAGCTGATTTCTGGCCCGCTCTGGTCCTGAGTGTTCTTAGACATCCTCCTCAGAGCCTACCAGATTATTCAGCATCCAGGATCTTCCACTAGTGGCTCTGCCCCTCCCTTAGGTCAGAGTCCAGCCCAGGTTCTTCTACAGCCTGCCAGCCACTGAAGAGTGAGCACCAGGTCGTGCAGAAGATCCAGGAAACAAGATGTGGGGGTGGCACAGGTCACGGCTTCCTGTTTTCTGATGGTCAGAACTAGCTGGCAGGGCTTGGGGAATGGAATCTTACTGGAGGAAATGAGAGTTTGTGGGATGGATAGCAATGCCTTTGCCGTATATCCTAAACATTTTCAGATGAGAAACACATTGCCAGAGAGGTCAAGAGACTTGCTGGGGGTCACATCATTTGTATGGTGTTGAGGATTCGAATGGCATCTATTAGATACCAAATCCGCCCTCTTATCAAGTTCCTTACACTTGCACACAGAAAGCAAGACCCTCGGGAGGCTGAGGGCTCAGGCGCTAAAGCCCTGGCTTTGACTTACAAAAGCCCCAGACCCTCTCTCCGCCCACCACCCAGCAAGCTCTATCTGCCAGCCTGTAGCAGGTCAGGAAGGTCAGGAAAACTCTTTAGAGGCTGGGAACCCTCCAGCCAGGAGAGATGGTGCAGAGCTGTACGGACACAGGAAGTGACCAGAAGCAGATCTGAGAACGCAAGACCTTGGTGATCTGCGGACATTCAGGGCAGAGCCGCCCCTGCGGGTCCTGGCTCATCCACTCCGGTTCAGTCTACATTAAAGTAATGGCTGAGGTCAGTAGACGGCGTAGTGGTTACATCGCTGGACTTCAACACGGCAAACCACAGTTCAAGTCTCAGACCTGGTGGCTTGAAAATCACTCCAGGTACATGTGCATACTTGCCCAAGATCCTGGGAGGAGAATGGATGAGAAGGGATAGCAGCATGGCCATCCCCCCCTTGGGGTGGGGGGTAATTTTTATCTTTCCCGCTCACTGTTTCTCTCTCTTTGACAAAAACACATGCCCTGTGGCAAAAACCGCTTTTTAAAAAGTTATGGCTGAATATGAACCATGTGGGTAAGAATTTCATCTAGACTGCTTATAATTTTTTTTTCAGTTTCAACATTTATGAGGACATGAGAGAATTATTGGACACAGTTATTTCTGCAAAATGACTCCTCCAGATAAAGGGGACCAGATGAGTTGTCACTGCCCTTCAAATGAAGGGGAATAAAAGAATTAGGGTGTGGACCCAGGCTGGAGAGAGATGGCTTGATTCAGAGAGTGAATCCCAGTAAGGCAGGACCAGAGAGGCTCCAGGCACTGTAGAGGTTGCACAGCCTCTGGGGAGAAGCAGAGACTTGGGCTTCTAGGACCCCGCCCCCCTTACTGGATGGGACTCCTGGGAGACTTCCCACTTGCAGACTTGGTTTCCTCACTTGAAAAAACAGTAACTGCAATAGCTCAGCTCAGCCTGAGGGTTTAAGGAGAAAATACGTGGAATGACAGGGACAGCTGAGTCCATGTTCGCCGCTTCCTCCAGGCCTCGCTCTCCTTACAGAAATAAGGAAATACTGCGTACCACCAGTCACACAGAAGGGATGCTAGGGTTG